GTCCACATTGTCCGGCAGCTGGCGAAGCCCCGCATAGCTTCAGGCGGCCTGCTCCTGTCGGATGAAGGCCTGGCGCCGCAGGAACTCCCGGCGATGCGCGTCGTCGGCCCGCTCCTCTTCCTGGAGCTCCGCCGGGGCGGCCTTCTTCGGCACAGCCGCCGGCGTAGTGGGCTCCAAGGTAGGCGCCGTCGATGAGGGCGGCGTAGTAGAGGAGCTCGGCGCCTCTGGCTCCAGCACCGGGGGTGCCTTCACAACAGCCCTGGCGGTAGAGCTGCTGGCCGCCTCGGGCGTCGGCGGTGGCTGCGGCGCCATACTGAGCGGCCCCGTGCTCTTGAACGTCGCCGGCCTCGGCGGGAAAGGAACCGGTGGCGGCTTCGCCGACGATCCTGACGTAGGCGCTGGCGGCGTGGTAGAGTCCGGCTCCAGGAAAGGCGGAGGCGGGGCCTTAGCCACCGTCTTGGGCTTTGCCGCCGCCCGAATGGGCAAAACCGAAGCCGCCGGAGGCGCCCCTGAGGCGGAGTCGAACTCGGCCAGGTAGGACGTGAGAGCGTCCCAGCCGGGGCCCTGGCGGGAGCAGGGTCGCGCCCCTCCCAGAATGCGCGCGCCTCCGGCGCAGACGGGCCCGGATCTGTCGTGGGCTGGTCCGCCCCAGGCGCCCCAGATGCCGAAGGCGCCGACCAGGGCATAGTCGACGGATCCTCGCCCACGGCGGCGGTGTCTTGGTCGGGCGTGGCGTCAGCCTCGACCAAGGCCGCCCGGAGGTTCGCGGCGTCCTCAGGCGACAGGGCCCGAATCACGGCGGCCAGGCGGGGCACCGACATGCCAGCGACGAAGGACCTGATGAAATGGTCCTCGTACGTCTGGGTGCCCCTGTCGCTGCCCCCTGCCGGCGGGGGCGGGCCGGACGGAGCTGGGCTGTCGTCAGGCTCCGGGCCCCTGGCGCCCCGCCCGGCGAGATGGCCTCGGCGGGCAAAATGCCCGGAGAGGCGTACGCCCCAAGGGGCGTTGGCTCCAGCCCGTCGAGGCTGTCCAAATCCACCAGGCCGCCCGGCGCGGTCGTAGTAGGCGCCGAGGTCGTGCCAAAGTCCAGACCCACGCCAGGCGAGGCCCCAGAGTCAACCGCCCCAACAGGCGACGCGGGGGCGGCGACTGCCTCAAGCGCTGGCGTGAGTCCGGATGACGCCATGACCCAGGCGAGAGGTGGCGGAAAGGACAGCGAAACACAGAAAAAGACGGGCGAGCCGAGATGCTGCTCGGCCGCCCGCCTAACCTTGTTCCTGCACGCACACGTGCGTTACACAGCAAACTGGCATGGCACGGTGCACTGATTTGATGCTTCGCCTGTCTAAGTTGAAACGCTGCTTTCATGTTTGTACAACCTACAGCCCTACGGATGCATGCAGACAGCATGGCGAAACTTGAGAACAAAGAACAGCTCTACTTCAGAGAAGCATCTCGCTTCTTAAAGGTGTGCAGCAAAACAGCTGGCCGTGCTGCCAAGAGCTTGCCTAGTTGAGACGCCATGGCGGTCGGCGCCATGACGGCACCTGTCGGAGTACCTACAAGCAGAAGGCATGAAGGGCTGTGGGCCGGGTCTGATGCAAGAGACCCTGCTTAGTGCTTACAGTACCGGTTCCCTACCTGCAGCTCATGAGCTCGAGTCAGTGAGACCAATCTTTGATTCCAGCGAAGATCCGTTTGCGCACCGTCGTCTTCCGCTCGCTTGTTCCGGAGGGAGTAGAGCAGCCTTGTCCGCAGCTGCGTCTGAAAGAGGCTCGAGACACATCTTGTCAAGACGGCGGCAAACAGCTGAGACGATGAGACAGCTTCGTTGGTAGCTGAATACTGCACAGCCGATATTCCTGCCTGGCCTAAATAGAAAGCTCCGTGCACACGTTCAAAACGAAGGGCACATCCGAATGCCAAGTCGCTCGAGCATGTCTGAAGACGGCAACTGGCGCCAGGGCCGATCCTGGCAGGCTGCAATGTGGTTTGCGAGACCAAGTTTCATGGTCTTGGATGAGCTGTACCGGATGGGGACACACTTTCAGGATGTGTGGTAGTGAGGTGTGTGGATTGCCAGATGCCCTGGCCACGACGCTTGCGAGACGTCCCAAACGAAAATAGAAGCCCCATCTGCACCTCATAGTCGCGGCCCATACTACTGGGCATCGAGCTCGAGCGGTGCGAGGAGGTACCTAACTTGCTCGCGGGAGCACTGCAGAGATTGCACGTTGAGCAAGGGATTCAATGCATCCTTGCGTTCACGCTTGGCAGTTAAAGCCAGGAAGTGCACTGCCTCTCGGAAAAAGTATGGCAGATTTCTCAGGGATCGTCTGGAGAAAAGTGAGCTAGCCACTTTTACTAGGACACTCCACAGTCTCCATCAAAAAGCTAAATATCGATTGGCGCATGTCAGATCCTCGCAAGGGCTGAACTGCACATCTTTGCGAGGTGCCGTCGCAGTTCACGTCGTCATCCTCGTCATCACTGTCCTGCGGAACACGTGCGAGCAGCGAGAGTGTTCAGGAACGTCTCTTTAACATGACTGAAACGCTTAGGAAATCACAGCTGACCATGCATGTTCCGTAACGGGTGCAACTGCCAGTCATCGGTCCGCTGCAACAAGCCCCACCCACTCCTCCACATGCAGGAACGAGTTCTTCACGAGCAGGGTGCGAGAGTTGTCCGCATCTCGGATGCTACCCCAGTGAATTCCGAAAGGTAAAAGAGAATGCCACACGCTATGTCAAAAAGATCTCGAAGGTGCGAAGAGCTCGCGCAGCCACATCGAACTACCAAGCTCAAAAATATGTTCCACACAAGCCGAGGCTCTATTTCGTCGGTGTCGAGACCTGAGACTGGCGCAAGGATCACTCACTTTGCATGACCAAACGTCACACTCTGCCTGCGCCTAGCCTGACTTTAGTCACACAGCGTGCGCGCAGACTGACCGAGAGTCGGGGCTCACATGTCGGCAGAGCTGAACAGGTGCAAAATATGCTGAGCTCTTCACGCGAAAGTGTGATCTTGCACAGGCCTTGGCAACCACCCAGCCGCTCAGCCCTCATCCTCCACGGCTGCAACGACTTGTCTCTAATTATGTCATAATAATGCGACATGTCACGTGGCAACTGGCATGAGCGCATCTTAGTGCAGCACACCACATCTTAGTGCAGCACACCATCTGCAAAGACCGCTCGCCGACAGACTCCTCGTGGTAGGGTGTAGTTCAAGAGGAGTGCAAGGGCAGCGGCATGCATGTGCATCAGTCAGCAGTGATCATGTGGAAGTTGGACACGCACCTTCTTGCATGAAGTTGCCTGTGGCTCTCTATGCGCGGCGACCTGCTAATCCTGCTAGAAGGCTACAAGGCCGGGTTCTGATTTGGCACGACCCAGCTCAGCTCAGGCCCAGCTCCTGTGAGCCATGCATCAGACTCATGGCAGTCTCATAGCCACCTCCGGAAATAGAGAAACAGATCTGAAGCCTTCGTTCACATGCTTGTACACGCTGCTTCACGGTAATATGGTGGGGTCCATGTTCTGCGGACAAGAGAGATGCACATGATGAGCCGTGGTACCGAGAAGATTGCTGCAATTGTAGAGGTTACCCTTGCAAAGGGTATCGTCACTATGATGAGGCCAGGCTAGAAAGTGCATTTCAATGGAACCCGAAGCGAGCTTCAACCTCCAGTGGAGAAGCCTTGAAGCGATCTTATCGTTCATCTGACACGGCAGAGCCCCTACAACACACCAACCTGCCGGTGCTGCACGAGATGTGTGGAGTTCAGAGTGGTGTGGTCGTGCTCTGCGTGCAGCTAAACTCTGACTTCAATGCGACTGCATCAGCACGGACTCTGCTGCCTGGGTAATTTGCGGCCAGAGAGTTGCAGGCCATGCCAGTGGCCATGCCCATCATCGGCTGCTGTGCACATGCCTCGTCACAGCTTTCAGGGTGGGTCTATTATGTTCGGACTTGCAGTGTCATTCATGTTGTTTTGAACTTAATGTTCGTGCTCAGGATGTTGCGCGATGCATCTCACGTACGTAGCAACCTTCAGGGGCTCGCACAAGAGCTACCGTTGTGGAGTTTTTTGCTTGAGCGGCAAATCCAAAAGTCTCAGGCGCCGAATATGCCCAGCCTGTGCCCGCCGAACGTCTGAGGCACTGCATCGCACAGATACTGCGGCTCACTTTTAGGCAACCCTGTAGCTGGGCCTAAGGGCGCTGGAAATTGCAGGGACGAAAGGAAGTTGCAGAAGATGCATGAGTATGGGTAGTTCTCTAAATTAGGGTCCCTTTTGGGGGCCTCTTATAAAAAAGGGTTCCCCCGCTATTTGGGGGACCCTGAAAGGGACCCTAGTTTAGAGAACTACCCATCAATGATGCTCCGGCTTGAAGGTCTGCTGACCAGGCTCGAGGCTCACTTTGCCGGGAGCCTTCAACCTTCGAGAAACCGACGACCTCAAGAACCCTAAACCCTAAATCCAAGATGAACCCCAAACCCCAAACCCTAAACCCTCAATGTGGATCCGGGAGCCGGGAGCCCGATTGAGCCCTGAATCAGAAGAGTCTGGAAGAGCCCTCACAGGTGGCCTAGCCTGGTCTGGCATCAGAGGCATGAGCCCGACACCCCTTAGCGGAGCATGGAAGTCGGAAGGACGGTCGGTTCATGGTACACGGTCTTAATCGGCTCTATGCAACGGGACGAGCTTGCTGCACATACTCAGCTAAAGACGTTGAAGCATCCATCCTCAGCCCTGGCAGCCGGATGGATATAGAACCAGGCTTGCACACTCGATGGAGCTGCACACTCTTGGGTCTGCTTCCAGGTTTGGTGCCGGCAACAGCTTCCAGGGCTTGAGCACATTCTCAAGGCATCCGACCACGAATTGCAGAGTAGCCCAGCCCCCGACTGCTGCTCCAGGAAAGATGATTCATCCTATTTCATCACGGTAGTTCTGGTTCTGGTCGTCAAACTGTCTCCTAACTTCCTGGTCACAAACGCTGAAGGAGCTCAATTGGCCTGAAGCGGTTGAAGTCAACCGTTTAACGACTATGGTACTTCACATTGAGGATGCGACACCGAACTCTTTAAGCACCAATCAAGCTCGACGGCCTGCACGTCCATCTTCGGGAGGTTGTGAGGGCGCTGCATTCCTGGGAAGCCAAGCTATGCCAGGGCCAAGCCGACATGCCTTTACGAGAACGATGGGTGTGCGTACCCGTTTACATCCATGTACCTGCGCCTACGCACTGACATTGCATGTAGGTCCACATCAATGTGCGTTGTGCGCACACACACGTAGGAATTCACTATCTGATGCTCCGAATGCACTCTGCCTATGTATGGGTACGAGTAAAATTGGTTGATCCGTCAGTCTGTTGCTAGTAGAAGCAAACGTGGGCTCAAGCTTGCCGTTCGCACATGCATGAATCAATGGCCCTCAGAACATGCATTTCGAGCATAAACTCGTTGGCCCTCGAGTGCTCAGAGACCTGCGGCTTTAAATGTTTGGACATGTTTCTGACATGGACATCAGGGACCTTACTGTGCACGGGGATTGCAAAAACACGCCTGCGAAACTAAGCTCTTGGGCATTGGCGTTGCGTGGCAGGTCGGCTCCAAACGAAGGATCACACTGAACGAAACAGGGTCTGGGTCGACGACTCCATCATCGAGATGCGATTCTCGATTTTGTGCCTGTCCGCTGTCAATGCCTTGGGGCGGCAGATCCAGATCCGAGAAAACATATGCTAGTCCGCAATAGGTTTGTCTGAAGGGAATGCCGGGCTGATCGGGTCGAAACATCCACGTGGCGCTTTCGCATCTCTATCTCCGCAGGCCCGAGACTCTGGCAGCCATCATGCTCGACTCACTGATCGGGCAGAGAGGATGCTGATGAAGGAAGTTATCCTGTGCATGAGACGCTCTTGTGTCAGCTGCCGGTTAGCCAGAAGTATCACGCATTCGGCAATGGTCCAAAGGTTCAGCTCATGGCAGGTCGATTCCTGATACGGGTCTCGCAACGCCTGCCAGTACGTGGCAATACCACGACGACTGCAGTTCTGTTTGTGATTTCGATGCCGAATCTCTCGACAGTTGTCCTTGCCTTCTGGGTGTATATAAGTTTTTCTGAGGAACTGCACCAGGTGTGGTGTCTCCATATGTCAACGTACTGCCTACCACCACAGCAGCTAGACAAGACTATGCCAGCTGGAGCTACACGCATTGTGCTCAGTCCAGTCTTGACCTTTAGGCCATCTTTCTCATG